CTTCAGGGAGCCCAGTTTACTCCAGCACCTAGTCCTAAGATACTGCCCAACACGAGTGAGAGTATCAGAATTTGGCTCACAATCAAAGTCTGGGGAAATGGGGATGGTGGCACCATTCCTTCAAACTGGTCTCACCTAGCGCCACCATATCGTGTATTATTTTCTTAGTGTGACTTGAACCAGTGCTTCTATATCCTGGGAAATTTCCCCACAATCTGGGAATTTGTGAGTAAAATGTTTCAACTTGGGAAATTGGGGAATTTTCATTCAAAACATTTTACTCACAAATTCCCAGATTGTGGGGAAATTTCCCAGGATATAGAAGCACTGGTTCAAGTCACACTAAGAAAATAATACACGATATGGTGGCGCTAGGTGAGACCAGTTTGAAGGAATGGTGCCACCATCCCCATTTCCCCAGACTTTGATTGTGAGCCAAATTCTGATACTCTCACTCGTGTTGGGCAGTATCTTAGGACTAGGTGCTGGAGTAAACTGGGCTCCCTGAAGGGGGGCTGGAACAATTTTTATAGTGGGGGTGCTGAGAGCCATTGAACCAAACTGTAAACTCTGTATATAATGAAAACCACTTCAAGCCCTGGGGTCTGGCAGCCCCCACAGCACCCCCAGTTCCAGCACCGATGGCTCCCTGCAGGCTCACTGGTGTACTGGAGCAGATCTTTTTGCAAAATCCAGCCCCATGTCCACCAGTAGTCTCATATCCTTCAGTAAGATGCTATTCAGTGTAAAGGTATCAGGTACCTGTAAATCAATGAATAAACAAGTTGTGTTCTGATTGGGCCTAGGGACTGCAATCAAAGATCATTGCCCTATTGTGCTAGGCGCTGTACACATATAACGAAAAAGATGGTCCCTGCCCTCAAGGGGTTTACAGTCTCACTTGTGGTCAAACGTGCAGGACAGGGGCCTTGGCACTTATGTCATAACCCCTGGGTGTAAGTTTGGGGGGGCCTCTTGATCGGCAGTCGAATGCTCTATTACTGCTCCCTTACCATATTTAAAGTGAAATGACCACGCTTCAGTGACCCCTACCAGCTCCTTAGCCTTCCCCACCCAAAAAGAAAACAAAACAAAAAAGCCCGACAGCTGATCATTTTCAAGGTTGCTTCACTCTTTGAAGCAGGTGAGATGGAGCCTGGGGAGTCGGCTCAGGAGGAGGGGACACAACTGAAGTATACAAAACGTCCCCTTACTCTTCAGAGGCCTCACCTATGCTTTCAGTTTACATGGTCTGACAGCTTCATTTCAACCCCAGCCTTCACATGGACTTGTTCAATATTTACTCAGGCTGATAGGTTTGCCCAGAGCTTGCCTCCATCAGCCTTGCCCTGCCGGCTCCCCTTCCCCTCAGGCCCAGGTTCACAGAAAGTTCAGCCTGAAATGAATTTACCAAAGGATGGGCCCAGGCTGTCCTGAGGACCAGAGATGAGGTCAAGCCTGGGTCTCTGTGCCCCACTAGAGCCTTGCAAGGCCTAGCACTCCAGGCAAGAGGTCTGCTTTGAAAAATTATTTCGGGTTAAAAAAGAAAAGCACTGGCTGGTAAGAAGAGAACACCAAGCATAGCCGGGGTTGGCTTTCAGTGCACAGAGCAGAGGTCAAGCCTTCAGGGAAGGCGAGAATAGTTCACAAACATTAACCATGCCTGGAAGTCGGTATGATACAGGAGGTGTAATCTTGCAAACTTAATAAAACATATCTATTTCTGTGGGAGGAAAAGGGGAATTTTTTTTTTAAACTTAAAACCAGAGTTGATTTCAAGCAGAATATGTTCTGATGGAAGCAGCGAAAGGTAATATAACTTTGTGTCACGACAAATTTCAACCCTGGTCAATTTTTTTTTAAAACTTTTGGTATGAAGAAACGTTCTGGACAACAAATCAAACTTGGTGGGTATAAAAATAAAAAAAAAGATAGGAGGAGCATTTCTGGACTGTTCAGAACTTCATGGCTTTGTGGGGCCAAATTTTCCAAAGAGCTCAAGTGTCAAATTTTCAAAAGTACCTAAGCCCATGCCTCACTAACTGGGGTCCCTCTACTGGGGTTGGAGGCTCACTCCCAGGTGCAGAAGTAGGGTGACCAGATGTCTCAATTTTTAGAGGGACAGTTCTGATTTTTCAGGCTTTTTCTTATTTTTTTCTTATTACCATCCACCCCCATCCCGATTTTTCACACTTGCTGTCTGGTCACCCTCTGCAGAAGAGACATACCCTTGGGATCCTATTTTCAAAAGTCACTTAGGCTTCTTAGGAGCCTAAGTCCTTTTGACCTGGAAGGATAGTGAGGAGCCTAGATGCCTGAGCTAATTTTGAGAATGGGACTTAGATGCTTTTGAAAATTTTTAACACCAGGCCAGATTTTCAAAAAAAGCCGCTTGCATGGTGACACGTGGGGCTAGATTTTCAAAAGACCTGAGCACCCAGCATCCTGA